TCATCTCGTTGGTCATCCTTTTCCCATAGAAGGATGTTATTCCCAGCACTCAGTGCCATCAATTCAGGTCCATTGCTGGCTCCATTCTCCATTTGGCTTGCTGACTGCCGATTTCCGTGAGACCGCGGCTCCAGCAAGTCACAGCAGTTGGAGTTCAGGAGACTCTGGTGAGTTGCAGCCATGGAATATTGTGTGGCTCTGGTGAGTCCTGGCAACATGAGTTCGGACACTCTGGCAAGAGTTCACCATGTTTCTGATTAAACATGCAAAGCCTGATTGGTTTTTTAATCCTGGTACATACAGTTTTCCATTCTTTGATTTTTAGTCTGTGAATATATTTTTGAATTAGATGATTTTTTTCAGTACATCAGATGTTTGGATTCTAAGTTTTTATCATGTCTACTGACTGAATTTCTGTCTTTTGTTGAAAAAAAAAAGTTTTATCTCAGTAATTAAATACTGAGAGATATTCATGAGATATGTTATTATGAATTTGCTTTTCTTTGTTGATGACTCCTTTGTTTTCATATTCTGTGTTTTTTATGGTTGTTGATCTATAGATCTTATTTGGTATTTCATCTCCTGTTAGTTTTATCCCTATTATTTTTTTGGGGGGGGCACTGGGGTATCTCTTTTGTTTTCCTCACTTTTGCTGAGGATATTTTTGAGTATGTTTTAAATATTGGCTAACTTCCTATATGTATTGGCTGTACTTTCTCATATTATATTGTCTTAGTTACTTTTCCCATTGCTGAAACTAAATATATGAGTCCCAGGTTTACAGGAAGAGAACTTTAGTTCAGCTCCAGGATTAGGGGAAATGTGTGGCGATACATAAACTGCAAATGGCTTGTGTGGTTCAACCCTTATGGAAGTGCTCCCTGACTATTCTCTCAGAAAAGCTCTGCTTGCTGCTTGCAACTTTCCTTAGATATCCATGTGCCTGACTGACTTCTCTGAACAGCTAGGATTCCCATCTAGGATACCTAGATTTTCCTCATTGTCACAACTTCACACATTTCCTGCTCAGGAATGCATGGCCTGGCCTCCAAGTCTTCTTCTTAAGTATGTGTGGAAACTGCCCTCACCCCACAGCACTTACACTCTTAGTGCAGCTAAAATCAGCGCAATGTGAATGATGCCTAAGTGTGCCAGCTCCTGGAACAGTAGCCAAGTTTCCTTCCCTCTTAACTGTAGAGTTGAATTCCTGGGCTGCTCATGGCTACGAACATAATCTTAAGAACATGATATTTAGGTTACTGCCATTCTGGAACATAACAGTCTCTTCTCAAACAAATTTTTCCATATTGAATAGCAAAGCAAAAATATTTTGAAACTACAACGGGGAAAACCCAATGGCTATTGTGATATATTCAGGCCATTTTTGCCAATGTCCTGTTCTCTCTCATCACCAGATTCACCTCTTCTGCAATGTTGCAGGTCATACCTTTATGAAAGCTTTGTTTCTTATAAATATCAACATTTTGAAATCATTATGCTATGTCTTTTATTCTCAATAAAGGAAGGTTAGAACTCCACAAAAGTAGTCATGCCACAGTGTCAGCATTAGACTTGATTGAAATTATTTCCACTCCATTAATTAGTACCCTGTCCTTAAGCAGTCTCAAACTAAGTCTCTGGGCAAGAGCAAATTGCAGACAAACTTAGTGCAGAGCATAACACATGTGGTGTGGATTCCACCAGCCAGCTCAATGCTTCTTTCTACAGATATCTCCTTATTCTGGTCCTTAGTAGATGTGTTAATATCAGTATTGTGCTCTTGTGAGCTCTGAAAAAAACAAAACTTCCTATAAGTTCATCTGAAAGCTTTCTGGGGCTGCTTTTTCAGCTGGCATTTCCAAATCTTCCCAAATTCCTTTGAAATACTCCTGAGTCACCCGTGTAGGTGATGTGACAGAACTGATCCCACTTCTCCAATGCCAAAATCTTAGTTTTCTCATTGATGCCACAAAATAATCTGTATCAATAATTAAAAGGGTTATTGCAAGTTCCAAATTGAAGAGGTGTCAGCTCCCTCAAAGGAAAGGTGGTATGCCAAGTTGGTGTGGCAGAGTGAAATAGTTCATAAAATGTCAAGCAGAAGACAGCCAGCAGGAAGCAGCAGTCTGCTTGTAAATTTTACTCTTGTACTCCAGCTAGATCGAAAGGCTTTTGGTTGGTACCTCCTATGTGAAAGATGTGACTTATGTCTTAAATATATCCATTTAGCCACACACACCCAGTACTAATCTATTACTAATCATTTGAATAATTTAAGGTCCTACATCTTTATCCCAGAATTATATAGCCTATATTTAGCTGATTCTGAAAAAAATCCCTGTGTGTGCATTTAAAGCGTTGGGTGAATGTAGAGATACAATCCATAGTACCTTTATTGCTCCACATTTTTGAAGGACTGCCTTTGAGGTATGTTAAATTGGGTTGGCAGATGTTGGTTCTTAGGGTTGGAAATACTTTCTTCCATGTGCTCTGGCCTTTAGAGTTTGCATTGGGTGGTGTGTTGTCATTGAAATGGGTTTATATATGCATATGAATCTTTGTATTTCTCTGACTTTAAATCTGAGGGATATTTTGTTTCTTTTTGTTGTTGGATACTGCTAATTTAATATGGATATGTCCTGGTGGGCTTCCTTTGGTAATCAGAGTGTTTGATTTAAGAAAGGGGTCCTCCCTTACTTGTATATCTAAATCTGTTCTCTTAGTAGAGACATTTTTAATTTGATTAGTGTTAACATACAAATTCCATATCATAATCCTGCAGGTTTTCTTAAAATTCCATTGGGCCTTAAATTGGTCTTTTTAGTGTCATCTTGTAGCTGTTGGTTTTACTTTTCTTTTTCTATTATCTACCTTTTCTATTATCTACCTTTCTCAGTTTTGATTTCCCTAAGTAATTCTTCATGTTTTGTTATCTTCCCTCAATTTCAGACCTTAGATGTAAGTGTAATTTCAGACAGTCAATGATTTCCATAGTTTATTTATTTATTTATTTATTTATTTATTTATTTATTTTCATTTGTTATTTTCATTTCATTTATTATTTCATTTATTTATTTTCATTATTTATTTCATATTTGTCTGGTATTTCTGCCTGTTCAAGGTCTATAGCTTTTTTGAATTTTCATTTATTTTTTTACCAAATTGCTCACCTTTCTTAGTCCCTACTCTGCTCACCTCCTGGCTCTTTTGAAAACTGATGACTTTATGTTACATGAGCTCAAGTCATGGAAAAAACTGACCAGTGAGGTAAAAGGGATTTCAGTCATGGCAGATACTTGAATTTTTCAGGACTTGTGTCAGTTTGGCTCATGCTGTTGTTACGTAGATGATCCTATATAATGCCACCTGATTCTAATTACATAGTGTGGGTACTGATGCGGGAGGAGAAGGGATAGAGAAAACTGACACTTACAGCCTGGCTATTTCGGCACAAGGCACCTTAGCCATCATGACAGCTGCATGAGTGAGATCAGTGACTGTGCCTCTGTTGTGAAAACAGTACAAGTTCTGAGGACAGGAGCCAGTGCCTGAGATCTCTCACTGCTCTGTGAGGAAACTCCAAAGACTCCAGCCATCTGCTGTGCTGTGTGGACCAGTACAGGCCTAAGATTGGCATCCTGGAGAAGGGTAGGAGGCTTCTGTGTAGCAGCCTAGAGAGGTGGCATGGAAATGGACTCAAAAGTGCAGAATGCAGCAGTGGACACAAGATCTGGTGCATTTGAAGGTGACACATTGTAAACAAAGGCATGGTGACCCCAACATTTACAGGAGGGAAGGAAACACAGATTCTACAGAGAGAGAGTACCAGAACGTGCTACACAGATCAGCTGGTGAGATGGCAGGAAACACAGGATGATGTGGATGGGCAAGGAATTGCCTACGGGGAATATCTTTGAACATTTGGGATGGAACCATATGGAACGTTCTGCCACTAGTGACACAGCCCTGTTTATGGAAAGCAAGGGTTTTGTGCTTCCAGTGCCAGACTAGCCATGTGATATATTCTTTTGGCACTCGGGAGAGCTGCTAGAGAACACATTCTAGAGACCTACTAGCCCCAGCAAGATCTCCTGTTTTGGTTTCTGGTTAAGGGAAACCGACCATGTCAAAGTCCATTGCACCCCTTAGCTTCTCCAGCCTTGCTGCATTGTATCTGGTTAAACGTACACAGAGAAAATTGGTCACTGGTATGAAGGTTCTGTGGTGGCAGATATGATCTCACTGATAGATTCCATAGGAATATCCCCCTCACATGGGATCTCCTTGACCTCTTTCAGATCAGGAGTCATTTGTGTTCCTATTTTATCCTGGTTTTCTCTACAATCCAGAAGATGCTTTACACACAACACTTGTGATGCTCAATGCCTTTGAGCATGAAAACATACTGGTCCCAGGAAGAAGATCACTGGATTCTTAGCTGCCTGGTTTTTGATGAGGCTAAGAGAAAATCCTGATCCCAAAAGGAAATTTGACTGTAAATTTGTTCTTCTATAAAGGAATTGGGAAAAATGAGGGAAGAAATAGGATTCATTTCTCAAGAGATACTTTGTCTTTTTCATGTCTAGCTTTTTACAAGGATTATTGATCCATTTGGCTGAAAAATAAGGTAAGCAGTATTAGTATCTTGGAAGAAAATAATATCTAGGATTTTTGTGCCCACAACAACTGTAATAGTTTCAAGTATGTGTTCATGTGTAGATAATACATGCACAATGCACAAATCAAGACAACTTCGTTTCACACAACAGAAAATAATATCTTTTAAAACATAAAAAGGGAAACAATGGATAAACTCTCTTTTCCGAGACTGGGTGAGCCTGCAAAGTGACAGGTGCTGATGCAAGGTGAGAAAATTTTTGGGTGAGAGTGGAGTATAGAGTGCCCTGGGCTGCCAAGGCAGATTGTAACATGGGAACCTGGGCCACTGTCAGCCAGCCAGATCCCACCAAGACGACTTTAGCTCTTGCCTTTCAAACTTTTCAATATCCTTTCTTCCAGCTATGGAGGATGGGCAAGGTGCCCTGACTGACATCCAGCCAGCTGAGGAAGGTCTGCTGTTTCAGGATGAAGTTATACAGGCCTTTGGACTTCATGGCGTAGAAGACATTGCTGCCTTCAGGGATCTTGAATACTGTGGGAATGAGCAAAGAGCTGGTCATTGGTGCTCATAGGGGACCATTTCAAGCACCCCCAGCTGTGGAAGTCCTCCTCCTAGAAAGACCTGCAAGTTTTCCAGTCAAGCCCCAGCTCCATCTAGGACAGCTCCTGAGGACTATGTGTCAAGGCCTGATACAGCATAAAGACTTCTCATTTGAAAGAAGTTTTGAACTAGAATATCCCATCTCAGCCTGGAAATGGAAAAAGCTTACCATCCTGCAAACTCTAGGTCTTTACTGGTCAGGACTCTGGAAGTAGGCTTACCAGATCCATAGGCAACTCTTGAATGCTCCCTGAGACTCTGGAATACTCTGCCAAAGACCAGGCCTCATCACGGTTTTCTTGGTCCAAGGCTGAGGAGGCCTCCACATCTGGTTTATCTTAGATATCCAAAAAGTCCTACCTCTGGACTCTTCCTCAGCCCTTTCCTCTGGCCAAGAGTGAGCTGTCAGCCAGTGCTGAGAGGACTTGGGCAGCTCTGTCTCCACTTGTGTCTCCCCAAGACTCAGTCTTGATTTTCTGCAAGTATACTGGCCATCTAACATGTCTGCCTAACCACAGTGAAGCAAGAATATTCAAGACCATTTAGGATATAATTCTAGTGATGCTGATTGTCCCTATGGACAACCTGCACTAATGACTACTGTGTGTATCCAGCCACACTGGAAAGAATACACTGCATTGACAACACTTGCACAGACCTAAAATGTACTTCCCTGTATGTGTGAACCATTGGTCATTCTGGTCTCCTTGAGGCAAGGAGGTTATAGAAGCAGAGGGCTGGGAACCTGCCCAGTGTCTCAGCCTATGCTTGTTCTGGGTTCTGCCCACTCCCAGTTCTAACACACTGACTTGGCTTCTGAAACGTCTGCATCTCCTGACTCAGACTTGGATTTCACACAGAATGCCTCAGTCCAGGGCAGCACCCATTCTTTCAGAAACACATTTACTTCCTAGCAAGCAGGCATTCCTTCCTTGGACCATGTGAGCAACCTACCCTCTGGGACAAGCCTTGGCTCTTCTTTCCTCACTAAGTTAGTTTTGATCTGCAAGTTCACACCCAACAGGGGACAAAGGAGCAGAGAGGATCATGAGCTCCTGGGAGAACAATGGATTAACAGGAGGTCAAGAGCCTTGCTGGCAGATGGCTTTGTGTGTTGTGCCTGCTGACTTTCAGCTGGTTTGTACCACAGCTGGCCACACCCTGACTTACTCTCTCTGTCAGAAACAATCTGCAGGAGCTCATAATATTTGGGGTCATCTTCAATCAAGTGCTTCTCCATAGCCTTCTGGATGATGTTGGAAGTCCGATCATTGCAGGTCACCTGGGTTAAGGCAGGGAAAGTGCCTCAGAGTAGGCTCTCCTGTTGCTCCCCCAGGGTTCAGTAGCAAGGGACTCTCCAAGGTGCAGTAGCACTGAGCCCAAAGGCTCTTGGCTGTATTTACTGGCCTATCCCCTTCTCCTGCTTCCCAAGGACAGCTTCCATGTAATGCATTGTGCCCAATCCCACACATCAACAGTCTCTTGGCTTTCAGCATCTTGCCTCCCCTCTATGCCACCTTGAGAAGCTACTTGAGCTCATAAATAATGTTTCATAATTCTGGGCAACAGAAATGGCCAGGTCAACCCGATTGGGGATCCATCACCATGGCAGGCCCGATCCTCATTGCAGACTGCACAATTGAATGACACAAAATGGACCCATGGATAGCTGGACCCAGAAGGCCAGAGCACAGATGGTGCCATGAGGTCCATATGGATGGTATCACATTTGCAAATGATTCCTCATCTGCCAGAGTGGGGCCATAGGAGAGTAGTCCTGCTCCGTGCCCATACCCATAATGTGAGCATCCACTGCAGGCTCGTGTTCAGTGATATCCACACTGACTGTACTGCTCACCAACCTTTTGAGACCCTACTCTGGACTGCAACTTCCACCACCCAATGAGCCTCCCCTGTTTTCTGGCAGCAGTTCCTCTCTGACAGAGTCCCAATGTCATGGCTCTCCTGATTGGCTTCAGCCCCCAGTGTCTCAGTGTCCCTCTGAGAAAGTCAGTGTCCTCACAGTACAGAATGACCCAGGGACACTTGCCTGAAGTCATCCTCCCTGCTTCTACTCCCACACCCGAGTTTTTGGTCACCACTTACGGCAGCTCAAAGACTCCTGGGGTCAGATAATCAGTTGTCCTCTCTCCTCTCAGCTCACATACAGAGTTTGGCCTCTGACACTTTTGTGATTATCTGGCTGTCCTAGCTCACTAGAAAGGCAACTCCAGGAAGGCAGAAGCATATATGATGCTTGGTATATGTTGACCCATAGCTATGTGTGGCCCGAAAAAGAGCCCCTACAGCCTGCTCACCAGAATACTTTTGTACATGTTTCCTTTGGCCTCCTCTATGCTGACCCTGATGATGCAGGAGTCACCGACTTGCTGGTTGTAAAGAGGCCCCACTTGGGCCATCTGCTCCTTGATCTGTGTAGGACAAAATTATCAGCAGAGTCCATGACCCTACAGGTTCCCCACCCAGAAAGACAGCCAGCTCTGAAGCTTCTAAAAGCTCTGTTCAGGAGGAGCTTGGGTTGTTTCTTGCAAGGTGGAGGGGGTCGTGATGCTACTAAAAAGAGCAGAGTCAGTCGCCTTGTTTTCCTGGATATCAGAAGTCCTCGAAGCCTTATGCAGCACAACCCAGCCACATTACTGCAGAGCTGCTTTACCTGGGCTCAGTCTAGAGCTGCTGTCCTGCAGGCCCCATGGGAAGAGTGGGTTTGACTCCACTGCAGAGTGGGGGAGAGAGTTACAAACTGTGGGATCCAGGTATTCTTTGCCTCCTTGTTTCCCTGAAACTAGGTTGAATCCATACCAGGATAGAGACCATGGCCTGGGGATGAAGCTTGGGAAGCCAAGCCTTGTGATTCAAGACTCCTTGAAACACTGGGTACTGCTCCGACTATGAAAAAAAATGGTGAATAGGACTGACCCAGGATGGTGTGATGGCAAGAAGGGAGACTGGCAGTATCTTTCTCTAAGGTTTATGCCAGATCTTGGCACAGAGCTGCTGGGACCAGGCATGCCTTGTGTCTCCACCTCTAAATCTGTTGCTGTGTTCACCTGTATGAGCGCTACCACTAGGGGCTTCTTTGAGTGAGGTCTCCAGGTTCAGTGCTCTTCAGGTGTCTAATGAGCGCTAAGGCTGCTGAAGTGTTCTGGGAGACAGAAGTGTCCCAGACATACTGCACTGACCACCATGCCCCAAGGGCTAGGTCTCTGGAGCCTGTCTTTACTGCTTTTTGCAACCCTTTCCTGGAGAGACAGAGACTTCACCAAGTCTCCTGCCAAGAGGGAATCAGAAACCTCAGGGTTCAGAAATGTGACCAGTCATATGATGTGCGATGGTAGAGCAGGATTTGAACAGGAACACAAGCTACACAGCGTGGAAAAAGATTTGGATGGCTGGTACCTGCAGAAAGCCTGCCTTTGCCCTGCCCTGATGACCCAACCACTGGCTGAATTCCTTAGCATTAACTGTTCCCTCACCAGCTTAGAAGGGGATAAGAGAAAGTATGGCTTCTCTTCCCTCACCTTGTTAGCTGTGGCCACAGATGAAGACTTCAGTGGCTCTAATGATGCCGGTGGCACTGGGTTTGACTCCATCTCCAGAGTCTGTGACACAACTGACTTCTTCTCTGGAAGTGATGACAGAGATGCATGGCAAAATGATCCCAAAATCAGCCTGCTCTGAACCATTCCCTGCTTGCCAAAGACTGCTTGGTCCCTGACCCCACTTCAGGACCACAGGCCAGACAGCTCCTTCACCTAACAGGCCAAAAGGTCCTCCTGTTGCAGGCACAGTGCAGGCCGAACCTCCTCAATGGGAGCCCATCCCAGCCCTTTATCATGTTCTCTAATGAGCTCTCCTTACCCCAGTCTTCCTCACTCTCTGAATCAGCCTCTGAGGAAATTGGCTTCTGCAGCTGTGCTAGGAGAAATTGGGCACGGTTCTCCAGGTCCGAGCCAGGGAAGTGCAGCTGCACAAATTGCACCAGCTGCTTCAGGCAAGGGAAGTTTGGAGGATCATGGAAGTGCTGCTGATAGGTGTCCAACCAGGTGCCCAGTATGGTGGAGATGGCACTGGGGGAAGGCAGGCAAGAGCAGTGTCAGAGGTCTGCACTCTGCTTCCTCATGCTGAAGACCTCAGCCTTGCAGCAGGAATCACAATTGTGGGACCCCAGGTTTGCTTCACCCTCCCGCATCACAGGTCCCCCTAGTCAGACAAGGGAGCCCCTTTCTTAACCAAAGCCCACTCACTTTCTTAGCTGTCTTTGGCGTTCACCTCCTTTGCCAAAGCAGGCCAGGATGTGGCTATGTCGGCAGGACTTCATGAGTTTATCACATCTGTAACCAGCATGAAGAAAAGAGAACTTTGGTGGCTAGAACTTTTTCCTGCAGGCGAAAGTGGGCTCTCTCAAGAGCCTTGAACCTAGATCCTCAATGCTAGCCCATCTTTACTTGTGCTCAGAGTAACAGAACATGCAAATTGAGGCTTCAAGAAGTCTGGGCCCAGTTTCATTGCTGACTGAGAGAATGGAGCAAACTCCGCAATGTGTGCTGTTACTTATCACACCTGTCTTCTGTGTCTCTAATATAAAAAATTCTGACACCCCAGGTCAATGTGATTTCACGCAAAGGGCCCCTCCGTCACCTCAGAGCTGGCTTTAAACAAGACCTTTCTGCTTCTCAACATTTAATGTCCTGCTTTGCCTTGGTGAGCAGGCGCAAATGAAACTCACCTTGTGGACCAGAGTAGCAGGTAAAACAAGGACTGTCCCTAGTCCTGAGGTTTTTGTCAATGACTGACTTTGTGATGGAATTGGAGCCCAAGAGAGAAGGAATTCTTGCTCTTTTCCCTGGATTATGCTAAAGACCCAGTAGTGAGCCTGCTTTCCCCATGAGCTTCATTTGTGTGTGTGTGTGTGTGTGTGTGTGTGTGTGTGCATTGAGTGCAATCAACCAGCTTCTTCCTAGATAACTTCCAGGTTCCTGTGCCCTTCAGACCAGCCCCAGGATTCCTGGTCTAGACAGGGATCCTCAGGATGCCATGCAGAACCTCCTTTACAAATGGGGAGACTGCTTTGTGTCAGGCCTCAGGTAAGTGCTACCCAATGTGATCATTGTTTCCCCAAGGGGTGTGAAAGTTACATATGAGAGGCCCAAGGTAGGTGCTTCCAAGGCTCAGATTCCTTGGTTCTGGCAATACCCCTAAGTCTGCTCTGAGCATCTCAGTTTCCATAGAGTATACTTCTCATGGCATTCCAAAGATCCAGCCAAAAATTAATGAACCCCCACCCATGCTTATGAGGTGGGACACACACCTTTTCAGCAGAAGCTCCAGCACCTGCTGTGTGGTGCCAACTGATCGGTAGCTTTGGAAAAATCTGTGGACGAACCAGGTGTCCCCACGAAGCACAGAAGGCACTAGGTCATTCACCATGCTCGTACGTGCATCCTCCATCAGTATTTCCAAACAGCCACGCACTTCCAATTTCTGGCTCCATGTACAATTGTGGGTTGGGACCAATGACAGAGGTTCAGACACAGAAACAGTAGCTCTATTAGTCTCTCTTTTTTTGATCACTGAGTACAAAGATTCAAATCTGAAACAATGCAGGAAAGGTCTACTCTGCCTCAAGGTTTTAGAGTGTTCAGTTCATTTCTGATGGGTTCCAAGGTGGATATGGCAAGGTGCAAGGCCATGATGGAGGAAAGCTGCTCAAACAATAGCAACCCTGCAGAATAGGAGGGAGGAGCAGGGGGATAAACTTGCAGGTGACCCAAGTGACCCACCTCCACAAAGTAGCCTCCATTCCTAAGGTCACCTTCTGATATTGCTGTACACTAGCAAAAAGTGCTTCGTTATGTTTGTGTTATGCCTAAGTTATATGACCAAATTACATGTAACTTTGCCAGACTGTTCTGTATGCATTTCTTTTTTTTTTTTTTTCTGGGTGACATAATTGATATATTAATCAACGATCCCCTCTGTAAAGAATTGTAAATCCCCGGGAACCTGACCAAATTGATATATTAACCATTGCTGCCTTCTACAAATAACAGATGTTGAACTAATATAAATTGACAAAAGGTTCTTAATTGCTGCTATATTTCTCTGTCCTCTGCAAAGGGAAACAAAGTCTTCCTCATTGCTTATCAGATTTTCTGATCCATTCCCATAACCCCTTACTTTGTAAATTGTGCTTTCTACAAAAAGTCTAAAACATTTTGAGAGACAGCTTTTGCGAACTGCAACTGCACTGTCTCGCTACCAAGATAAAATAAATCAGCACTGCTGTTTTAAAAATCATGTCTTGCCCCACTTTTGGTCTCGAGGTTGGGGACTACAGGAGGCTTGTTTGTGGGTTATAAGAATATGAGCTCATTGATTGTAACCCACTGATGAGAACTATCTGAAGATCTAATCTAACTCCAAACCCCACCTTGAACATATGGGACAAGAGGGTGACATTTTAGATGTAAAGCACAACCTGAGCAAACTGCCAAACTGCTGCGTTAAACAACAAAGTTCAAACAGCATGGAGAGATTTTTCAGTACTCACACATGGAGATGGGCACACAATGACACACCTATACTCACACCAGGGAGGGGCTGAGCACACACAAGGAGTAGTTCAAACAATGGGTCACCTTTCGATTCAGTGAAAATGTCCACAGGCGTCCAGGACGATGTGAGACTAATGATTTCCAAAAGTTGCCAAAGCCTCTTCTGTTAGGTCTCCTGAGGTCTGAGCCTCGGGAAGTCTGGAGACAAGACAAAAACATCCTGTTTTATCGAGGCTCTCCAGACAAGTGAGCTCACTACAGTTGGCTGTTAGAAAAGGTCCCCTGGAAACAGAGTTCTGAGTTCTATTTCATCATTAAGGAAGTGAGGTCATCTCTTGGGGTCCCCTTAACCGAGTAGGATTAGGTATTAGGTATTAGGAGTTAGGATTCAAGAATAAATTCAGGGTTACACTTAGAGGTTAGTCTAAGTGTTAAAATTAGTGCTAAGTCTTTGCTTTGGGATTATAGTTTACAATAAACTTTACAATAGTGATTACAGTTAGAATTTGAGTTTGTAGTTAGGAAAGGTGTTACGGGGTTAAATTCAGGTTTAGGTCTAGAGTTAGGCCTATGGTTAGGGCTTGATTTTGTTCTAGGATTTGGATTTGTACTTACATTTTGTTGCAGGTTACTTTAAAGTGTTAGTTGAAGAGTTAGGAATTAGGTTTATGATTAGCTTCATTAATTAGCTATACAGACGGTAATTTTCACAGTTTGAAAGCATTGGAAAATTTTCTAGATATTTAGTTGAGTAATCCTTCTTAATGTCTGAAATCAAATTTTCCTACATACAGTTATTTCATTGCATGGGGAGTCTCCCTATTTCACCCAGTCTCTGAAACATACATCAGGCCTACATTATGCACAGACATGTCCCTCATCCTGCTTGGGATCTGACTTCTCATCCAGGTCCTCCATGGCCCAGCTGGGCCCTGTACCATAAAGATATCATCCCTATCACATCAGGTCAATCCGTGCATGGTGACCTATTCACTCTGCTTGGGCTCTGAATTCTAGCTCACGGTGGAACCGTTCGGTGTGTGGGTGCTGTCCTCAAATCTTCCTGATGCTGAGCCCCCACTTTGGCTGCCATTCCACAAAGACTCTATCCTCAAACACTTTGACCTCTGTGCTTCCATAAAACCTCTGGCAGAGTTGCCCCTCTGCATGCCCAAGCTCACATTGCACGCTACCACCTACTACACAAATGACATCTGCTCACCTTCAAGTCTTCCTAAAACCGCAGAAGACATCTTTCCCACCCTCTGGATAGCCTTCTCAGTCCTCTTATTGACAGTGCTCTGTGACAGGCCAATCCCATGAGTGGCCATTATGTTCAAGCTCTGCTTCTGCATGCCAAGTGATGATATTTCCAATCCCCATGATGATATGTTTCTCATTCTTCCTGGTTCGATTTTCCTGACAAACTCTGCATAATTACCCTGTTCCTGAGACCGACCATTGCTGCTCACCACTGCACCATGACCCAGACACCTACTGTGTCACATCCAACCCATTGCTTTATTCAGGACTGGTCTATGCTGTAAGGAAAGAGAAAAGAATGAAGCAAAGTATAAGAGAGGATAAGGTAGTTTCAGGTTCTCTACAGTTCATTATTGGACTGAACCTGTGGCTGATTGAGGACAGATGTGTATGTTCTTCCCCTCATTTCAGTGACAGCCACTTATTCAGACCCTTCACTACCAAAAGAGAGTGTATATTTCTAAATTTCTCTCTCTCTTCTAATGGCCATTTTGAATGTATCATGTTGTGATACAAATAAGCCTAACATCAGAGTGGCTTACAGAAACACTTTCATTTCAGTATTACTTACATGCTCAGGGTCTGTTTAGGTGTTACTATGAATTTTCTTTGCTCCACAGAATGAATCTTCTCATTCTGGGTCACCCCAATGCAAGTTGTACTATGCAGTAGATTTGCTATTTGGATACAGACATACAGTATATTTGCTCAGATTTTATCGGCCAGTGGAAGTCAGATGTATATGCCTGTGACTGGGATAGAAAACACATCCTGCCTACAAGAAGGCATTTCAAGGCATCAAAGTTTAACCATTCAGAGCTCCCCAATGTCTACCTTATCTAGGTTGGTTATCATTTTGCACTGACATGATAAATGGGCCACTAGCACAACACGTGCTGAAAAGAGGAACATTTATATCAAAATAAAGTACTCAAAATTGTGTTTATGTTTGCTCCTCCTTGTCATCTCTCCCTTTCACCATCTGCACCTCTTCCTGAGAACACTGTAGCTAGGCAGAAATAAGAGCTGTCTTTGTCAGGTCTGCCCTTAACCTAGAAGCCTGACCTTCCTTCAAATGGCTGGGGTCACAGTCATTGTTATATTTAAGTAGTATTAATTCCACCAAAGGAAAACATTTACTACATTTTTCACAACAGTTTTTAATGAGATTATAAGTGATCTTTTTGATTACTTTGACATATTACTTAGAACACAGGAGACTTGTTAACTATTTTTATTCTTCGCTTTTTTTTGTTTTTTAAAGAAGTCAGGTGCTCCAGTTTCATTCACTTTTTTCATGTTATGAAATGTGGAGTAATATGCAGATGGGCAGATGTTAAAACACATGAATGGATACATGCACACTAATTTGTTCTTTCAAGGTATGCATTACATTGTAACAAAAACATTCCCTACACAGAGGACTTACTGGGAACAAATTTTAGAAATAAATGTTTCTCTATGTTAATTTTTCCTTTGTCATAAACCGATGAAAAAATAGCTACTCAGCTGTTTTTTCTATAAATTTCTGAAATGAATCAGCGTATACAAGATTAACTCAAACTGTTTCCAGGACCTAAATGTTAGTCCTGAATCCATGAAACCATCAAAAGGAAAAATATGGAAATAATTTCAAGATATAAATAAAAACAAAGGTTTTTTTCTTTTAATGTGATGATGAAAGCACATACAACAAACAAAGCTACACAAAGGACACTGTACCATGTAAGAGGCTTCTTCATAGCAAGCAAACAAAGAACAAACACAGAGACAACCAACAGGCTGAGGGGAAATATTTGTCTACTACATTTATAAAGGATCAATATTCAGCACAGTGAAAAAACAGGAAAAACTGAACAATGAGTCAAAATCCAGTTAAAATGAGTAAATGCTCTGAGTAGACATTCCTCAGAAGAAGAGATAGAAGTGGTCAACATTTATATGAAAAATTGCTCAACACCAACAAGTGTGACACAAATGCAAATCAAAACCGTGGCGAGTACAATCCACTTCTCCCACTCCCCCATGTCTTCATGTTTCTACATTACACCTCTGCCCTCTGGAGTGACCTGCACAGTTAGAGTGAATTGTCCTCTTTCCTCATGCTGCATACACATGCAAAATTGCAAATTTAAAGAAGCAAAAGTTTTAGTACAAAAAACTAACAAGCTGACAAAATTTGTAATGTATTTTGAGGGAAAGCATTCAACTACTAAGATTTAGGGTTCACACAGACACAGAGGTTTGTGTGGTTTGTCAGCTGCTATTTCCTCCCCTCTCTAAGCATGGTCAGCACATGGCACTTGCTCTAAAAGGACCTCAAAATGGACGCATGGTTGGGTAGCTGTGATCTTTTATGGTAACATTTAGCTCTCACAGAGTTATGACTCTGAGCACTTTTTCAGTAGATGTTATTAATTTAAACGTCCCATCTTTCTTCTTGCATATTTTCTATGCTCTTTTCCTACTAAGGATGCCTGATTCTTGCACTCTGTTTCCTCACAGGCGACGGTCTGCTCAGGTGTTCTTCAGGCCACATTTCCCACTTCATAACATGACTATTTGTAGTTGTTCTAAGTGCTGTCATATTCCTTTAGGAAAACAATTGACACAATTCTTACTAATATGGCCGATATACTTCAAAGTGTCCACAGAAATTATTAGTTTTCAAAGCAGGAGGGATATGGTCTTGAAGTCCAAACCCTAATAGTCTGTCTTTAAACACCATGATCTTAAGCACCAACCACAGCAAAAGGACCAATCACCATGCAACCTTACACAACTTCTGAAGCTTCACACTTGCAGAGACTTTCAATCTTCTCTTCTGATGTGCTTGAAAAGGTTAGTGGCTGTATGCCTTAGGAGGAAGTGTTTTAAATGTCAAAATCAATTACAAAACAGCGCTTTTCTGAAGTGTTAATATATGCAAGCTCTCTCCTTAAAGATATTTAAGAATAAGGTTACTCTGACTTTAGTTGTGTTAAGTGCACAAAAGTTGAAAGGAAGAAGTAGGATTCACATGACTCCTTAAACACATGGGATAACTGAGCCATCTCATGCGTTAGAAACACGCTTTTTCCTCCAGGGGCTTTTTACTATTTCCATAGATTGGGAAATTTGTTCTACATTCTTAACCTTATTGTATAATGGACATATTAGAATAACTTAAAACTATCTAAGAAGATTTGAGTGTCTTGCAAAATTCGAATGGTTGAAGTTTACTCCTCAGGGCAGCAGTACTGGGAGGTGCTGTGGACTGGAGAGAGGCGAGGCCTGGTACAGGTTCTGAGGTCACTGATGACTCAGTTTCCCAGATTTTCTCCGCTCTCTGGTTTCCGCCATAGATGTCATCCTCACTGAATACCCAAACCACAAGGCCAGCTGACATTTACTTGAGGTTCCAGGTTCGTGAGCACAAATAAGCAGCTCTTTAGTCTATGTGTGACCCATTTCAGGGATTTTGTCATAGTGACGGAAAGGTAACTAAAATATCTTTACTAGTAAATGGCATTTGACTAACAAGAAGAGAGTAACTAGTGACTGATATGTATCAGTAGATAATGATCATTATCATAGTCAATGTTTTACTGATGAAGAAACGGGGATCATGCATGTTAATAATGATTAAAGTTCAATACTAATAATAATTAATATTATTAGTAATAATTAAAATTCAAATTAACTATATACTGAAAATTTAATATTCACTTACCAAAATACGTATATTCATTGTTTTATCTTCATCTGTGAGACTACACTAATTATACCTCTGTGTATTTCACTGGGCTATTTCCCAGTGTGCACACATTGTGTCCAAACCTTTCTTCTGCCCTCACCCAGTAGCCCTGTGAGAGCTTTAGTATTCCTTATTCTTCCATTCACTGTTGTGGTGTTATTTTAAAACTGTTCCATTAGACTAACTTAATGGAAATAAAAACTAAAATTTTTATCTTTGCTCATTTCTTTTCTAATTTTTCCATCTTAATATAGAACCAGTTTCTAA